TCACGCTGCAATCCCTTCTCCTCCATTCTCCTCTCGGGATCTTGGGCACGCACGCACACACGCCTGGCGTGAGTTTTAAGCCACCGGGTCCGGGACACGAACCACGGTCGACTACGTGGGAGTCCAGCGACATAGCCATTACGCTAACTGCTGGTTCCCATGAGATTTTGAATTATAAGCTAGTAACATGAGGATAGAATAAATGCTGTTCATTCTGGCCAGTGGTATTTTCCTTACAAGTTTCCCTGCTAATAGACCATCCTGTGGCTCTTGTATTGTAGGCCTCTATCTTTTTTCAAGTCCCATTCCAAACTTCCCATAAATTGTTTGCATTCTCAAAAGGCATTCAGTAAGTTCTGCTTCCCTTGGTTAGCCAGATCTGACATTATTGTCAGTTCAAAGACATTTGGTTTGGGACCAGCAGTTAGCGTAATGGCTATGTCGCTGGACTCCTATGTAGTCGAACGTGGTTCGAGTCCCGGACCCGGTGACTTAAACTCATGCCAGGAGCGTTTGCGTGCGTGCCCAAGATCCTGGTAGGAGAATGGAGGAGAAGGAATTTCGGCGTGGCCATCCTTGGCCGTCCTCCCTGGTGGGTAGTGATTTCTCACTTTCTGTCTCTCTGTCTCTGTCTGTCTTTCTGGTGAGTACACGCCCCTTATGGCAAAAACCTCCCCCTCTCCCCCCCCAAAAAAAAAGACATTTGGTTTCTGTTGCTGGCAACCAAAAAACTTTGACTGACAGATTCTGCTAGGTAAACAAGACAAAGTTGTTACCCTCATGAAGGTTGTATGTTAATAGAAAACATAGGTTTACGCAACACTAAGAAACCCTAGATTAAGAAAAGTTAGCCACTATTTTCATATACTCATGTTTTTTACACCGTTCATTCCCTCATGCATGTGACAAATATTTCTGGAGTGCCTCTGAAATACTGGATGTTATAAGTATGAATTTAATTTATTTCATTTGTTTTACCTGATCAACAAAGGTATAATTAAGTCCTTTTTCCATTGCTTCAAATGTCTTGAGTTCCCTAAGCACTTGAAGGTCCAAATCAGAAATACACCAATTAACCATAGACCTGAGCTATTGAAAATACAAGCCTTACCTCCTCTTATCTTTCCACCCATCTCTAATCTTCCTGTATCTCTGAGTTGAGGAGAAGCAGTATACTAAAGACAGTCACTGTCACTTTTGTGACTTCTGACAAAAGAGCAAGGATTAGATTCCTGGGCAGGAGCTTCCTCAGACTTGCCTCAGTGATTGAAAGTAGTCCAAAAGTTCTAGGGTCTCTTTTCCATAATTACTTGGGCCTGTCTTCATGCATGTGTCAGTCATTTTGTGAACCCAGGAAGAGAAACCAAAAGATGCCTGCAAGATGTTTAGTCAATGTTTTCCCTA